GGAACGGTAATAGACATGCTGCTGAGATAGCTAATATGGCGCTAGATCTCCTGACAAAGGTTAAAACCTTCGAGAATCCGGCATCTGCCAAGCGCTTAGGTTGCGCTGCGTATCGAATACATACAGGTGGCGTGCAAGACGCGCAGAATGCCAGCGCAGGGCGGATCTACTTGCGAGAGGCATCTCATGCGTGTTTAGCAGCCGTACTGCACCATTGTTGGCTTCTCAATTCATCTCGTATTTGCGCGGGAAATGTCGGGAAGGTAAAATACGACTTGCGATGTAATACCAGTTATAGAAGCTTTCAAGTCATGCATAACACGGTAGGAAAGCCAACTGCGTTATAAGCTCTGGTTATAAAGCTCTTGTAAAGTAAACTGACCGTGGTGGCCCTTGAACGGATAGCGGCGTCCTGTTGTCTAAATGTGGTGATGAACGTAGCTCTATTGGTTGTTGTTTTTCGATTCGAAACGCCCATTTTTAATTAATGCCTGCCTTACGCATTTGTTTTCTCTGGGGCATTTTCATATTAACGTGCATATGCACTGCGCTAGGCTTTTGCGTGTGTACATTTGCGCAAAAGTTCATGCGTGACGTATATTGGGAAATTCGTGAATAATTGTAAATGAATTCATATATAATTGACCTATTCACCTGCGTGTGATTGATAGGGACTCTAGCAAAATTTCGTTAGGATATGTCGTTCTAAATACAATGATGAAAGCTACGTGCCCCAAAAGGAATAATTCTCTAGCATGGCCGATCTATTAAAGGTGACTTGTGCGTGATTTTCTCGCCATACTGGATAGATTAATTATAATCATTAGTTAAAAGACATAGCGTGCTTTTCTTCACGCAGGCCCCGTGCGTGGCTGGTATAGCCGGACTGACAATGCCTAGATACTGTCTCCTTCGGCGATACTGTCACACAGCTTCTCGCATGAATCCACGGCTTAGGTAAGTCGTTTTTTCCGCTCCCACCATCTGACGTCATGTCATTCGATTTTGCGGCTCACTGCGTTCTAAAAATCAATAATAGCGGGGCGTCTATAACGGTACGTGATCACAAATACCCTGAACTGCGGTATAAAAGAGTCGGGCGAGCGGTAATCGATGCCGCAACACCTGCCTGCTCATTTAACAACCGTAGACGAGCCAAATTTAGCTAACACTTAGCCGCACACCGCGTCCGTTCAAACGGCGGCGTATCATCGATGAAGCGTAAGCGTATCGTATAAAAGCGTATAAAATATAAAATAATTAAAATATAATTAAAATAAAATAATTAATAATATTAATAATAATATAATCATATAAAAACGTATAATGAAAGTGTAAGCGTATAAATCATGTAATCGTTATATATGTAATCGTTATAGTCGTGTGATGAAGTCTGTGGATCATCTAGTCTGTGGATCATGTAGTCTGTGGATCATGTAGTCTGTGGATGAAGTCTGCGGATCATGTAGTCTGCGCGATGAAGTCTGCGGATCATGTAGCCTGTGGATCATGTAGTCTGTGGATCATGTAGTCTGCGGATCATGTAGTCTGTGGATCATGTAGTCTGTGGATGAAGTCTGTGCGATCATGTAGTCAGTGGATCATGTAGTCTGTGGATCATGTAGGTCTGTGGATCATGTAGGCCTGTAGATCCATGTGGCCTGTGGATCATCTAGTCTGTGGATGAAGTCTGTGGATCATGTGGTCTGTGGATCATGTGGTCTGTGGATCATCTAGTCTGTGGATCATGTCGTCTGTGGATCATGTAGTCTGTGGATGAAGTCTGTGGATCATGTAGTCTGTGGATGAAGTCTGTGGATCATGTAGTCTGTGGTTCATGTGGTCTGTGGATCATGTAGTCTGTGGATGAAGTCTGTGGATCATGTAGTGTGGATCATGTAGGCTGTGGCTCATCTAGTCTGTGGATCATGTAGTCTGTGGATCATGTAGTCTGTGGATCATGTAGTCTGTGATCATGTAGTCTTGTGAGAGTCTATGGATCATGTGATCTGTGGATCATGTAGTCTGTGGATCATGTAGTCTGTGGATCATGTAGTCTGTGGATGAAGTCTGTGGATCATGTTAGCCTGTGGATGAAGTCTGTGGATCATGTAGTCTGTGGATATGTAGTCTGCGTGGATCATGTAGTCTGTGGATGAAGTCTGTGGATCATGTAGTCTGTGGATCATGTAGTCTGTGGATCATGTAGTCTGGGGATCATGTGGTCTGTGAATCATCTAGTCTGTGGATGAAGTCTGTTGATCATGTAGTCTGTGGATCATGTAGTCTGCGGATCATGTAGTCTGTGGATCATGTGGTCTGTGGATGAAGTCTGCGGATCATGTAGTCTGTGGATGAAGTCTGCGGATCATGTAGTCTGTGGATCATGTAGTCTGCGGATCATGTAGTCTGTGGTTCATGTAGTCTGTGGTTCATGTGGTCTGTAGATCATGTAGTCTGTGGATGAAGTCTGTGGATCATGTAGTCTGTGGATGAAGTCTGTGGATCATGTAGCCTGTGGATGAAGTCTGTGGTTCATGTAGTCTGTGGATCATGTAGTCTGTAGATCATGTAGTCTGTGGATCATGTAGTCTGTGGATCATGTAGTCTGTGGATCATGTAGTCTTGTGCGATCATGTAGTCTGTGGATCATGTAGTCTGTGGATGAAGTCTGCGGACCATGTAGTCTGTGGAATGTGGTCTGTGGTTCATGTAGTCTGTGGGATAAAGTCTGCGGACCATGTGGTCTGTGGATGAACGCTACGTGTCTATCACTTTTAGCTCTAAAGATACACGTGAGTCTGCCATGCAAACACTTGCTCGATGAGCTAGGTGGATTCTACGTCGAACCACGTGGACATTTAACAATTAAGGTAATTAACACTAATTACGCGAAATTCAATCGACACCTACGGGCGACGTGTTTCGCTGCGCATGAGCAGATAATTATTTCGTAAATAAATGTAAATATTTATAGATAGGCCTAGATTATATATATAATATATATATATATATATATATATTATATATATATAAATATATATAATAGAGGAGAGAGAGAGGAGAGAAGAGAGAGAGAGAGAGAGAGAAGCGAGGAGAGAGAGATTATATGCCACAACGTACATCTGTATATTATATAGATGTCTTACAAATACACACGTGTATATAAATAGCAAGAGCTAATCATAAGCTAATAAATAAAAATATTAATAGGTAATATATTAGCTCCTGTAAATAATCTATCATGCAGGCTTCTACCAACGTACGGCGCGTTACCATTATGTGTAACAATGGCAGTAATTTCGCGCTTGCTTTCTTTTGCGTAGGGAAAGGGTCAAATGACAACGTACTGGCTTACGGGCAGCGACAGATTGAAGACACTGTACGCTGTGAGCCCCTCTGATATGTTGGGCAAAAATGAAGTGAAATGAAGTGTCAACCCGCGTCAGCTTCACAACTTATCTCGTAGCTCGCAACTTTCCTACTTTATCGTAAAATAATCATATCACTTTAGTATTACACTACTTTCTATCTTTACTGTACTATACCGTGTATGGATAACATCAGGAGCAGTGGCGTACGCAGGGGGGGGGGGGTGTTTGGGGTGTTAAACACCCCCCTTGCCTCTGTCCCAAACAAACATTTAAAAAAAGAAGAGGAGAGGAGAAAAGGGAGAGAGAGAGAGAGAGAGAGAGAGAGAGAGAGAGAGAGAGAGACGAGAGAAGAGAGAGAGAGAGTGAGAAAGAGAGAGAGAGAGAGAGAGAGAGAGTGTGGTGGTGTTGTGTGTGTTGTGTGTGTGTGTGTGTGTGGTGCGCGCGCGCGCGCGCGTGCGTCGTGCGTGCGTGCGTGCGTGCGTGCGTGCGTGCGTGCGTGCGTGCGTGCGTGCGTGTGTGTGTGTGTGTTGTGTGTGTGTGTGTGTGTGTGTGTGTGTGTGTGTGTGTGTGTCTTGTGGAAGAGGAGCGGAGAGAAAGACGGAAAAAGAGAGGGAGAGAAAAGCAGAAGGGCCCTATTATCCTGTTTATTAAGTTTAGTATTTGTAAACACCCCCTCCGAGCTGCTTAAGAACAAGGTAGCCTAACGCAGGTAAGGAGTGTGCCCACAATGAAATGAGATAGAGAACCCCCAAAATCGATCTGCTGCCTGCTCGGGATTTTGCCACAGGCGAGACATTACCCCTGCACCGGCCATATTGAAATAATGACGAAACCTTCGCGGTCCTACTAAACAGGCAAATGTGCTACTAAACAGCAAAATGTGCAGGAATGTGCGCGGGAATGTGTGCGCAATGTATTAAAAATGTGTAAAAAATAGTTATACTAAACAGCGAAATGTGCTACTAAACAACGGAATGTGGCGCGGAAATGGGTAAGAATGTGGCGCAATGTGCATCAATAACTGCCGCAATGTATCAAAATGTGTAAAAAAATGTGTTATAACTAAACACCGGAATGTGCTACTAAACAGGGAAATGTGCTACTAAACAGCGGAATGTGCGCGAATGGGTAAGAATGTGGCGCAATGTGCATCAATAACTGCCGCAATGTATCAAAATGTGTAAAAAATGTTATACTAAACAGCGAAATGTGCTACTAAACTGCGCGGAATGGGTAAGAATGTGGCGCAATGCAGATATTCTATAACAACTATTTCATTAGGTGCAATATTGACTGTTCATTTGTGTGATTAAACCCTCGTTCCTAACAATCAATGTTTTTAACCTCGTTCCTGACCAAGTTTATGGAATTCCTGGAACGAGGTTGGGAGGAATGTCTCCCCGGCGACCAAGCTGCATGCTCCGCGAATTCGCGATTTCGTATGTATAAGTATCTTCGCTCTCATACTGTAATCCATATTGTGTAATCAGGAAATTGTGTAATTGTGTGCTCGTGGTGGCAACTCATGACAACTCAGTATGATTTTAATGAAACAACAAGTAAAATATGATATAATACAGAAAAATGTGCAAGGAAATGCGGTATTTTTAGGCGTTATTTTCATTTTTCTTTCAAACTCGAGGGGGTACACCCTCCCCCCTCGAGCACCACGCGTCCCCGCTTCGCAGTCACTAACACAAGCGTAAATCACGGGGAGATGGGGGGATGCATCCCCCCTGCTCTTGAAGGAGGGGGATGGCCTGTACAAATATCCCCCCTGAGATTAAAAAAAAAGAGAAAAAAAGAAAGAAGGAAGAAGAAGAGGTAAGAGGACTCCGATTTACCAGACAGGTTTATCAGCGTGGGTTTTAGGTGCTACAGTTCAATGAGGCTGCCCACACAGTCGGCAGATTCGTAGATTGGGCAGAATTGGATTGCACGCAACACATATTATGTTCATAGACTTGAGTTTGTTTACATCGTGAGATTTCAGAAATTTCACCGATTTTACTGCATCTACTCTAGCTATCAAACGCAGCTTTTTATAATAGCTAGTGTAGGCCTATGCACGTTTGTCGACTGTCAACGTGCATAGGCACGACTTGTAGTGTACGTAGTATGGATAAGTACTTTACGGAAAGCAAACATAATAGACAAACCCGAACACGCTGATATTGCTGGCTTGCTCTCTCTCTCGCGCTCTCGCTTTCTCTCTCTCTCTCTCTCTCTCTCTCTCTCTCTCTCTCTCTCGCTTTTTCTATCTCTCTCTCTCTCTCTCTCTCTCTCTCCCTCTCTCTTTCTCTCTCTCTCTCTCTCGCTCGCTCTCTCTCTCTCTCTCTCGCTCTCTTCGAGTCAGTAAAAACTAAAAATAGTAGTCTGTATATCAACAATATCTATCTATATTATACATATATATATAAAGATATACCAAGCAAGCCGTGAGAGAACACGTAGATATAGCGAGGTTGTAAAATAACATCAAGAGTCTATAATAGTTTTCTATTATGGACACATAATTGTGATTTCTGTACACATAATTCTGTATAATTTCTGTACACATAATTCTGTATAATTTCTGTATACATAATTCTGTATAATTTCTGTACACATAATTGTAATTGTGATTCACACATTGTGGCTAGAGCGGGATGAGAGCATGTGTGTTGAGTTGGTTACAGAGATGACTTGAACATTTACGTGTGCGTCTCGTTCGCGTGTGAAACTGTGTGACACGCCCTGCACAGCTTGGCTCTGTCGCTCAGCGTGCTGCTACGCCGGATGTTGAAAAACCACCGCCTCGAATCCACGACCTTCTGATCTGTTGTGATTAAACTAGCCGTTGTTTGTTTTTTCAACGTCTTGTGCGGATCTGGTGTTCCAGTTCATTTGGTCATGCGTGTTTAGTGAGATGGACAGCTTGTGCTGGGCTGCGCATCATTGTTAAAAGAATTGTTAACCACTTTATAATGCCAGCCTGCTTTATATATTGGGTTAAACAGTAAACTAATTGTAAAAGAGTTGTTCAGTTGATACGCTTACTATGATATGAAGCATCAATCGAGAATCGTTTTGTGGAAGAATCGTGCGTATTGTGGCGCGGTCGGGCATTCAGTGCGTTAGACCAATAAATTGTGCCCTAAAAATTTTTATATTCTGGTGCTATTTAAAATAACACCAGAATATAAAAATTTTTAGGGCACAATTTATTGGTCTATCAGTGCGTGTGCGTGCGTGCGTGCATGCGTGCGCGCCTGCGTGTCTGTGCTCTCAGACACTTGGATGGTTTTAGTAATAAAATGATAGTAAATAAACATGAGTTGTATTGACTACCAAAGTGTTAATGTTTATGTGTACTCTCTATCACCTAATAATTCCCCCCTAAATGCCGTTCAAATGCTGCCCTACAACACACAATCTCACTGAAGGGCCTCTAACGGCGCAGGTCTAGTATGCAATCAGATGTACATTATTAACAGATAATTGTTATTAGTAGATTCCTGCTCCGATAATAATATCAAGAATGTATAATATAGACATTCCTTATTCTATATTACACACTCCTGATAATATTGTTAAGCTGGGTTTACTATACCGACAGTTGTAAACTACTTTTACTGAACCAGTTGTAAACTACTTGTACTGAACCAGTTGTAAACTACTTTTACTGAACCAGTTGTAAACTACTTGCCGTTAATGCGTACGGTCTCTATTAGCGTCGTTGCAGAACGACTGAAACAGGGCAAGTACGTTCAAGCGGAGACGTACGACGAGGTCACGATCTACTTCTCCGACATCGTCGAATTCACCTCGTTGTGTGCGGATAGCACGCCTCTACAAGTATGTTCGCGAAATCTGAATTCGAATTCGAATTGTGTTTCCGGAATTAGCTCGCTATACCCGCCTACAACATTAAGACACACTAGTGAAATTTGTTCATCGCGATTTCATGAATAACTCCATCAATAATAATCTTATCAATTAATACTAATAATTATTATTTAGTAATTATTAAATATAATGTTAATAATTATAAATTAATGGTCATTATTTAACCAATTACGTTTTGTGTTGTGTTTGTTCAAGGTTGTGGATTTCCTAAATGATCTCTACACGCTATTCGATGGAACGATTCCAAACTACGATGTTTACAAGGTACATATGAGCATCTCTATCACTTTTATGTATTTAGTTTCATTTCTTTTAATTTATCAGCGATGGGCACATCTTTCTCTGGCCCCTTTGCGCTAAGGTTGCCGATCCTTAAGGCCGCCGCACACCTACAAAAAATCGGTCCGATTCAAAAATCGCTTCATCGTTTGTAAAATCGGCTCATCGGCTCATCGGCTCATCGGCTCATCGGTTCAAAATCAAACATGTTTGATTTGGAACGATCACCCGATAAAAATAAAATCGTCTACAAATGAACGCGCACACCTACCCGATATCGGCTGATTTCTATCGGGCCGATCAAATCGCGTGAAAAATCGGCTGGTGTGCGGCGGCCTTACCGGCCTTATCTGTGGAGTGCGCTGCGCTCTACTAATGAACACTTGTCGCGGTAATCATGCCGCATGTTCTAACGCCGTCGGGTGGATATAGCGCTATAGGTATACGAACCTCACACGCGCGATAACGCTAAACGATAGTCGGTTAGGGTACAAGAAGATGCATTGTATGCTAAATCCTACAATCATCATAGTATAAAGTTTCCTGTCTTTCATTCGGTGACAGGTCAATCAGCATGCAATATAAAGCTCCAATTTTGAATAATCCATGTGCTAGGACATGGATAGGACATGAATGCGTCACTAGTAGTAATTTGTTGTGTGCGCGTACGTTGTCTCTGATTTTATATGCGCGTAGGTCTGTGCGTGCCTGTGTGGGTGTGTGCATGCGTGCGTGTGTGCATGTGTGGGTGCGTGCGTGTGTGCGTGTCTGGGTGGGTGCGTGTGTGCTTGTGTGGGTGTGTGCGTGCGCGTGTGTGTGCGCGCGTGTGTGTGAGTGGGTGCGCGCGTGCGTGTGTGCATGTGTGGATGGGTGGTTGTGTGCGTGTGTGGGTGTGTGGGTGTGTGGGTGTGTGGGTGGGTGCTTATGTGCGTGTGTGCACGCGTGCGTACATGTGTGAGTGTGTGGGTGCGTACGTACGTGTGTGCGTAATCTCCGTATACATTTCATTATTTTTCGTTGCTAGGTTGAAACTATAGGAGATGCCTACATGGTTGCGAGCGGCCTGCCTATGAGGAACGGTAATAGACACGCTGCTGAGATAGCGAATATGGCGCTAGATCTCCTGACAAAGGTTAAAACCTTCGAGATCCGGCATCTGCCAGGCGCTAGGTTGCTGCTGCGTATCGGAATACATACAGGTGCGTGCAAGACGCGGCAGAATGCCAGCGCAGGGGGATCTACTTGCGAGAGCATCTCATGCGTGTTTAGCAGCCGTACTGCACCATTGTTGGCTTCTCATGTCATCTCGTATGTTGCGGGAAATGTCGGGAAGGTAAAATACGACTTGCGATGTAATACCAGTTATAGAAGCTTTCAAGTCATGCATAACACGGTAGGAAAGCAAACTGCGTTATAAGCTCTGGTTATAAGCTCTTGTAAAGTAAACTGACCTGGTGGCCCTTGAACGGATAGCGGCGTCCTGTTGTCTAAATGTGGTGATGACGTAGCTCTATTGGTTGTTGGTTTTTCGATTCGAAACGCCCATTTTTAATTAATGCCTGCTTACGCATTTGTTTTCTCTGGGGGCATTTTCATATTAACGTGCATATGCACTGCGTAGCTTTTGCGTGTGTACATTTGCGCAAAAGTTCATGCGTTGACGTATATTGGGAAATTCGTGAATAATTGTAAATGAATTCATATATAATTGACCTATTCACCTGGTGTGATTGATAGGGACTCTAGCAAAATTTCGTTAGGATATGTCGTTCTAAATACAATGATTGAAAGCTACGTGCCCCAAAAGGAATAATTCTCTAGCATGGCCGATCTATAAAGAGTGACTTGTGCGTGATTTTCTCGCCCATACGGATAGATTAATTATAATCATTAGTTAAAAGACGTGTTTTCTTCACGCAGGCCCGTGCGTGGCTGGTATAGCCGGACTGACAATGCCTAGATACTGTCTCTTCGGCGATACTGTCAACACAGCTTCTCGCATGGAATCCACCGGCTTAGGTAAGTCGTTTTTTCCGCTCCCCACCATCTGACGTCATGTCATTCGATTTTGCGGCTCACTGCGTTCTAAAATCAATAATAGCGGGGCGTCTATAACGGTACGTGATCACAAATACCCTGGAACTCGGTATAAAAGAGTCGGGCGAGCGGTAATCGATGCGCAACACCTGCCTGCTCATTTAACAACGTAGACGAGCCAAATTTAGCTAACACTTAGCCGACCACGCGTCCGTCAAACGGCGGCGTATCATCGATGAAGCGTAAGCGTATCGTATAAAAGCGTATAAAATTTAAAATAATTAAAATATAATTAAAATAAAATAATTAATAATATTTAATAATAATATAATCATATAAAAACGTATAATGAAGTGTAAGCGTATAAATCATGTAATCGTTATATATGTAATCGTTATAGTCTGTGGATGAAGTCTGTGGAT